TTTCAAGATGTTTCATTTCATTGTTATATCACACAGCTAGGTGATATGGATCATTGTCAAAATGTGAAAAGATGCTGTACGGAAACTGGGAATTTTTAGTGAAGAGAATGTATTGTCCCAGTTGAAGCAATTATATAATCTTGAGCAAGTACAAAATGCAATACAGTGGGGGTGTGGGGTTGGATTATTTTATTTTTGAAATTTGAATAAAGAACTTCCATGGAAGATTCTCCAAAACCATATTTGTTTTCCATTTTATTACTTGAACAAATGAAGGATTTTCACACATGTTTATAAATACCACACTCCATTGAAATGGCACTCACTTTGAAGAATGTAACAGGGACTGGGTTTTCTCATGTTGGATTTCCAGCTCAAATGCTGCAAAGTTCTGATCTTTCTTGGTCCCCACAAACAGATATCTTTGAAGCTGAAAGTGAGCAAACCCCAAGTTTCTGAGACTGCTCACAGTGAGCAATGGCCCCTTTAATTGAACCTTCAATCTCTGGCACTGTTGTTCCTTTTCAGCAACTGCAGATCGCAGAATCCACTTGAACTGAATGAAAAAGATGTTGAAGAAGAAGAAGATGTTGATGAAGATGAAGACTTTGTTGCAGAATGCCTCTGAATCACTCACACCAGAAGAAGACCTCCCGTGGCTATCTGCAACATCCTCAGCTAACTCCCTATCAATCTTCCCAAATGGGTTCTTCTTTGCCATTTTCAAGTACTTTCTGTTGCAGCTTTGGCACAAGATTCATCTGAACAACCAGATTTGGTAAACAAAGACTTGAGATACTCTCTTGATGCCTTGAGCTTCTGTGTTATCAAAGATTGTTTCATCTTCTTCATCTTATTGGACCAAGAGTTGTTTGAATCATTGCCTCTTAAGCCATTCATTTCGGTTGACCATTCAAAGAAATAGTCATCTGGGCTGAGTTCACTGCTCAATCTACATGATTCCAATGGAACACTCCCATTTGTTGAACCAATTGCATGAGTTTATGAACTTTGAAGGAGTTTCAGAACCATTTGCAACCGAGGTGGGTGGTGGAGAGGGAGGAGTTTCCCCTTGTAGAAAAGCTCATCAGCAGGTGAAGTTGTTTAGATAATCTCTCCATTGCAATCGACGGCGCACATTTGGAACTCAAACTCTCTGCTTACACGAACTTGGAGGAGGAAGATGAACTTACCTCCATGTCTATGTACTCTTCATCTGCATCATTGTTGAATGAAGCTTGTGTTATGGCCATGGTTTTGAACTCTCTTGTGAGATGGGAAAGAAAGGTGAGAGCTTTGGTGAGGAAAGAGAGGACCAAAGGGGCATCCTTTAAAGTATGGAAGGAGCCAAGTTAAAACAAATAAAAATCATAAGGATTTGTCAGGAATCTTTCCAATTTTCCCACACTTTTTCTACCTTCAATCAAGTCTGCATCCAAAAATTTATGTGGCTCACATACAACACCCTTATGCTAATGTTATATACATACACAAACATGCATATATATATATATATATATATTACTATTTCATCATTTACCTCATGCCCTTTACAAAATGTGAATTATAGCCATTTGTCCTCTTTTGACTTACATCCATATCCAATGGAAATATTATAACATTTCCATCAAAAGAGAAACTCTTTTGTCTCAAAATAAAACATCAAGACTTAAATACTCAGAGAAAAAAAATAGACACCAAAATACCTAATTAATCAAAAGCTATGATTTTTTTTATTATCATGCTTTTTTTCTTCTTCTTAAGACACCTGAGTTTGCCATGTTTGGATATACTTTGAACTAGAAATGTTGCGCAGAAGGTGAGGAATCTTCCAAAACCAGAAAGAAGGTGACAGAAGTACACTGTACCCTTTTGTCTCTCATTGGAAGTTTCAATGGAAGTAGCACAGAACAAACCTCATCAGCATTGCTCAAAGGAAAATCAAAATAGAAGAAGAATGGATAAAAGGGAAGAGCTTAGATGGATGGAATCTTATTTTGAAACTAAGAAATGCATGAAATTGTGTATCTACTTGGGAATTCTCAAGGATTCTCAGTCATCTGCTGCCAGTCTGCCTTGGTTAAACTTCACAGGTCATATACTTCAGGGTAAATTACACGTTTAATATCTTAACTATCACTTTCGTTTCGTTATGGTCACTCAACTATTACTTTTTTCAAAAGCATACCTAATGTGACATGTCATTTTTTAAAATGACGTGATATTATCTTATGGTAACGCATCAACATCGTCGTTAATTTTTTAACGGTAGGTGACCAAAATGAGACCAAAACATAACATTATGATTTTGAAACAAAAAAATGATCGAGTGACTAAAACAGAACAAAAGTGATAGTTAGGGTACTAAACTTGTAATTCAGCCTGTAGTCTATTAGTTACCTCATTACATGCAAACCAGCACTGTTGAACAATCAAAATTTATACAATTTAGTCCTGATAAGAAATAGTTGGGTAAACTACACATTTAGTACCTAAACTAATAGTTTTATTCTGTTTTAGTACTTAAATTTTTAATTGTTTTTAAAATTATATTTAACGTTTAGTTTTTGTTTCATGTTAGTATTAAAATTTAAAATTATAAATGAAATAAATTAAGCACAAAATAGTATTTATTCAAAGATAATTTCAACCATTTGATATTGAATGATCACAACCTAAAAAATTTTAGTGCTCGAACCTAAGACTTTAAAGAATAATAACAAATTTTTTATCATTGAGACTACGCGATTCATGTTAAACAAAATAAATTTGAATCAGAAGAAAACGGCCCTTTGATCAGCGACATCTACAGCTGCAGAGCAAGCAAGCAGCCTATCGGAAAACCTAAACAATGCGACCTTAATTTTCCTCCAAACCAGACACTTCCTTCTCCTGATACGTCTCATTTGCATGCTGTTCTTCCACCTCTTCCTAATTCTCTCTTTTACTCTCCCGAAGCATTTCAAGCTCTTTTCAGCCACAGTTTCTTTCCTGGAAAACCTATAGCTCCTTGACCTCACGAACTCAGCTTCCGTCTCGGGCCACCTGTGGAGATTCACATATGTTGGCCTAAACGGCACCCGAGGGTCTCTAGCGTCCGTCAAACAACAGGAGATGCAAACGGAGCTCATCTTCTTCAAAGGGTTTTTCTTTTTTTTGGGGGAGTTCTGTTTGAAAGTTTGAGGGAAGCTTAGATTGTATATATAGTCAAAAGAGGAAGATGGGGTTGTTTACAGTTGGTTGAAAATGGGATTATCACTGATAGCAGCGAATTAATGAGTGTTTTGTTATAGCAATGGTGGGCGTGTTTAGGCAAAGACTTGATAGGTTGATAGGCTAATCCTATTTTATTTTATTTTATTTTACCCAATAAAAAAATGGTGTGTCAAATAAAACAAAAATTAAGAAAGTTTGGGGTTCATGCCGAAACAAGAAATGGAGATGCGGGGGAACGAACCCCGTGCTTCATGCAAAGCGAGCGCTCTACCATTTGAGCTACATCGCCTCTTGCATCAACAATTATACTTAATTTAATTAGTCGAAATCCATGTATCCCCTTCTTAATTGGTTTAGTAACAATTACGATATTACTGGCAAAGAACCAGCTTTGTTGTTCAATATGGGCCACTTTTGTCTTGATTTTTTCACAAGAGACGGCTTATCAGGTACAACATGAGAGGCAATCTGCATATGATGCTTCTTGTGGTGGCTATTGGGGAGATGATCTTTGTATCTGGTAGTGGTACGTACATTGTGGATGTTGATCGGGTGCAATGACCTCGGGGGCGAAGACTGTTACCGAAGTCATACCATCGGCCGTGTCAACATTAGAAACAAACATTGATAGTTGGCTTGTAAAAGAAGATGATAGAGGTGGTGTTGAACGACGGGCTGGGAAAGAAGGTGCGGGCCAGTGAAGTGCAATGAGGACGACACCATCGGTGACAGTAACCTCAAAAAGTTGGTTGACGCTGAGACCATCTACAAGGACCACTACGAGATTCACCATTATTTTCATATGACATGATGAAGATGAAATAGAGACTAAATATTTCTTTCAAGGAAAGATGATTGACATGCCCTTCAAGAAAGTGTTGATATTATAGGCTGGTAATAGTGTTTGTAATCTGTTAATGAACCCAACTTTGCTGATATCTGGCTAATACCAAAAAAGTGTATGTTGCCAAGATTGAATTATGAGGAGCTAATACACAGGAGAATGGCACCATATAATTAACCCATTTGATGTCTTAGTTTTTTTCCAGTTCTTTCTGGGAATATCCAAATGCTTATATCCTCTTTAATCTTCTTAGATTTATTCAGCACCAGGTAAATCAGGCAGCTCCCACATTGCTTAATAATATGTTGTAGCCTAGACCTAAACAATGCAATTGCAACCTTAATTTTCCTCCGAACCAAACAGAAGACACCTTCTTCTTCTTCTAATTCGTCTCATTCGTTGACTCTTCTTCCATCTATTCCCGTGATGCCTCGTTTTCTCTTTAACGCTCCCAAAGCATTTCACGATCTTCTCAACCACAGTTTCTCTACTGTCCTACACGAGACACCATTGACAACTCTAGCACATCCGCCGTGCATGGTGTTGCGTGAGCTCATTGACCTCACGAACTTAGCATCCGACTCGGACCACTTGTAGAGATTCACATATGTTTCCCTAAAAGGCACCCGAGGGTCCCTAGCATCAGCCAAACAACTAGAAATGCAAAATGGAGCTCATTTTCGTCAAAGGTTTTTTATTTTTATTTTGGTGAGCTTCAAGGAAGCTTTGATTGCAAAGGAAGATTATACATTTATATAATGAAGGTGTCTGTGTGTGTGTATCCGCTTGTTTAGACAAAGAGTGCATAGGCTAATGCTGTTTTTATTCGCATTTGATTCCAAATATAATCTGCTTAGCAATATGTTGTAGTTTGCTAGGGTGGACGGGACACTCATAATTTTCATAATTTAGAGTTGATTTCTTATCAATGAAGGGGATGTAGCTAAAATGGTAGAGTGATTGATTTGCATGTGCAACATGGGGGTTCAATCCTTGAATCCCATATTTTTTTACATTCGCACAACACTCGGCCGTCAATTATTTTTATGAAGCAAAGGTGATTACAAAGTAGCATCTATTCTAAATAGTCTCAACTATTTGATAGTGAACGCTCAATCATAGCTGGTGTTCGAACCCGTAAACTCTAAGCTAGTTGATTTGCTTTGCATGAAAAGAGCATTTTAAAATCCATTAATTGAAGAAGAAGATGTAACTCTTCAATCAGGAGAGAACACCTTTGTCTCCAACTGGTAAGCTTTAGTGAAGAAAGCAGGCCAACAGAGGTAAGTTGACATGATGCTGCTAACTGTACAGGCACCAATCATCATGTTCATCACAACAATCTGCAGTTGAATTGCTTCCAATGGCGAAGCGCCTCCCATTATGAGTCCGGTCATCGCCCCCGGAAGTGAGATAAGACCCACAGTTTTGGCATTGTCCAACACCGGAGAGAGCGCAATAACAAGAGCCCTTTTCACTTGTTCCAGCGTCGCTTGACGCGGAGTCGCTCCAAGCGCCAACGCTGTCTCCACCTGCCAAGGGTGATGGAAAACCGATACAAACTCAATTAACAGAGTAAGAACTTGGAAAAGCCAAAGAAAATGTTGTAACATTGACAGCTATTCGGTACTAAGAAATTCGGAACTTACAAGGTTCATTTGTATCTTGATATCATCTCGAAGTCTTTTCATGGTGACTCCGGTTACTGTCATAGCGTTTCCGACCATCATTCCGGCTATGGGGATAATGTATCTCGGAGTGAAAGGGAAAACATTTAGTGCAACTAGAACAAACATTGTCAACGCTGTTCCTGCCAGGATGGATACTCCAGCAACATACTTCCCGCGAGGCACATGCTTAGCACGTTGTCCAGCTGTGTATCCGGCAACCGATACCTGCAATCCATGAGCACCCAAGATCGAATGTCAAATTTAGAGGAAAATATACAAAGCCCCAACATTGGATGCAATCAAGAACATTGCTAAACAAGATCCATCTAAAGTTTTTTATCTGATGTACAGTTTTTATAGAATAGGCTGCATAATTATTCTGTGTTTTGATCATATCAGATAAACTGTATGCAGAAATCTCTGAACCAGATTTGAAACAACAAATATACATGCTGAGATGATTCAAAAACTCCATAAGCATACAATTCAATATTCAAATCTCAAAAGAAACCAAGAATTCTGCAAATTTCAGAATTCAAGCTCAGATGATCAGTGAAGAAGGAAAGGCAGTAAATTCAACATCCAAATCTGAGACTTCGTAGTACCTAAAAGTAATCCAAAAGCAAGTTTCCACACAACAATCAAAATTGAATTGACTAGTTTCAAGTAAAAAAAGAGAGAGAAGCTAATGTGAAAGTTAAGAGACAAACCATGAAAAGATAAGCAAGAATGATCCACCCACTGTTGGCCTGGTTAAAAATGAACTGAAGAACAAACCCAATAATGGAAAGCTGAACAAAAGCTCTGAAAATGGAATAAACCATCTCTTTTTCCAAACCCAGAGTTTGCATGAAAGATAAGATCACGGCTATCAGAACAACGGCAAGGGCAGCCACCGGCTTCACCATGCCTCTTAAGAACTCAAACAACCAATCCCAATCCATTGAAAGATGAAACTGAGAGTGAAAATCCGCCATGTTCGTGTTCATGATGAGAGCTTGCTCCACGGTTTTTGAGGTTGGAAAAGAAGAATCTACCTTCCCCAAATGAGAAACTTTTGTTTTTGGAGCCATCTCGTGGAGATACTATTTCAGATATTCGTAATTCTAATAAATGACAGATCTAATAGGACAAGGTGATCGTAGGTTCCATACTTGGCGAATTTCGACAGGTGGAATTTGAGTTCAAAACGGCATTGTTAAATGGAACAATGTAACGGTTGTTACCCTGGAGCTGGGTGTATAGAATCATCGCACACTATTAGGGGGGGCGTTTGGACATGGAATGTCATTCTCAGTAATGTTTTATTATTAATAGTAGATTTTTTTGAGATATATTATTGGGAATGTCATTACCTCCCTTCCTTTAGGTATTGTAACATTATCGGTTTTTTGGACTAAAATGCCCTTAAATTTTTATTTTTTTTTCAAAAATATCCTTCTTCTGTCATTGAATAATAAAAATTATACGAAGGTTAAATTACAAATTTATCCTTAAATTAATTTATATTTACAAAAAAAATCTATAATTAAAATTTTATATGAAGTTCAGGGGTTAAAATAAAATTTTACCCTTTCATTAAACCTTTTTTATATTTTTAATTTTGTAAAAAAATTATATAAATATTATGAATTATATTTTTTAAAGAAAATATATATAAATATTTTACAACTTGAAATATTATACAAATATATAATAAGGACAATTTGGTCAAATATACATTCCAATAATCTTTTATTCCTTTAACTAAACACGGTAATCTTACATTCCTGCTAAATCAACCAAACACTAAACACAACATTCCCAGTAATCATATTCCCTGGTAATCTTTTATTCCCACTGGTAATCTTACATTCCGTGAACCAAACACACCCTTAGGGTTTTTTCTAGGGTAAAATGTACTTATACTGTTCATTTTTATTTTGATCACCATCTTTTAATTTTGTTAATTAAATTATTTTAATCATTATTGATCAAGTTATATGTTGTTAACATTTAATAATAGATAATATAATAATTAAAAATTGATATAATTATATATTTAGTCTTCATTACTTACATATTTTATCAATTTATCATAATTTTAAACTAATTCAATAAATTTAATCTAGCACATGTCATCAATTCACATGTGTCATGTCTCATCATATAATTAAATAAAAAATTTATTAAGTAAAATAAAATTATAAAAAAATCCAATTATATAGTAACATATGTCATGTGTTATTATCTAATTAGAGGATTAAGTTTATTAAAATAATTTAAAATTATGATTAGTTTTATAAAATATATAAACAGTAAAGATTAAATTTATAATTATATTAATTTTTTAGTGTCACATTGTTCCTTTTATTAAATATTAACTACAAATGATAATTTTAAATAGTTAAATAGTTTAATTGATAAAGTTAAATAATTAATAGTCAAAATAAAAAGAGACAATAATTAAGTGACCATATATGTAATTTACATTTTTATCATTTTTTTTAAATTACTTAAAATCTCCCCTCCCCTGCTTCCTTTCATTAAACCCTAATTGAAATGGAAAAGAAGTCCGAGGAGGGAGAATCAGAGCCTGAGGTGTACGAGATCCGGGGAGAGCCGGCTGTTGTCATCAATGGCGTCCCTAAGATAGACCCAAATTGCAGCAGCCTCGTTCCCTCTAATTCCATCAAGGAAGACGGCGAGCCTCGGAAAGAGAAAGGGTGTGGCGAATGGTTGGAAGGGAGGGAGGTTCAGAAACTGTTTGGGGGAAAATATTATCACGGGAAAGTGATCCAATTCGACAAGGAAACTGGGTGGTACACGGTGGAGTATGAAGATGGGGATTCGGAGGATCTTGATTGGGTGGAATTGGAAGAGGTGCTCTTGCCTGTAGACATCGGAGTTCCTTTGAAAACAGTGGCATTGAAGGTGATGAACAACAAACAGAAGGATGGGCAGCAGCCGGTTCTTCCAGAGTCTGAAATTCACAAGGACAAGCTTGTGGGAAAGAAGGGGAAGAAGACTAGAGCACGTTGATGAACAAGAAACTGGTAGGTGATTCTGAAACTGAGAATTCTTTACTTGTAGAAGAAAAGAAATAGAAGCTTATTTCCCAGTTGTGTGACATGTTTTAGGCATTGATATCTTAACTTCTTTTTCCCATGGGAAATGTAGTTTGAGAATCAGAACTGTTGCAGAAATAGAATTTTAGCTTTGATTTCCCACATGTTTACACTTTGTCAGCCATGAATTAGATAGATATCCAGAGGATTTCTTGCTTCTGTTGCATATTTTGCTATGGGTTTGTGAGGGGAACAATATTTTACCCTGAATTCAAAACCAACACCACATCTTGTATCAATATCAGCGAAGCACCCACACTGTAGCTCGTTCATTTGAAGTAAAAGAAGGAACAAAAGATCTAAATCACTCCATAAGCCCCAAAAGCTCGAAACACTTGCATCTTCGTTGATTCAGGGTTGTTAGTTGAGTACGAATCCAAAACACCAACATCGACAGCCGAGTCAATACAAAGCCAAGGGTTTGGATTCTCCTATTGTTGTTGAGGTAGTGAATGATGCATAGATGCAATTTTTCCGAAGGTCTTATTATTGGGACCGGAAATTCGTCATCGGTTGAGAACTCGGCCGGAGATGCTAATGCTCCGATTACCTGTGCATTGCTGGCTGTATCTGTTATGGGTTTACTGACAAATCTACGGACCTCTTCTACAAATCGAAACACCTTGGATTGAATACACAATTGTTTGATTTCACTCTACCCTTAAGTGTATAATGTGGCTTAAATTTTCTAGGTAAATTTGTGCAAACGGCTCTTGAAACTTTTCTCTCAAACTTATATTTTCATATTTCCTTTTATTTAATGTCAGCATACTTTCTTCCATATTCGTATGTGAGGAGATCGAGAAGAAGAGAGAAATAACATATCTTGATTTTACGATGACCGGAAACCAAGATAAGATCAAATTTTTAATTTGAATTTTGTAAATGATGATTGAACCATAGTAGATAAAGATGTTGGTCATAAGAAAGAAAGGTAAAATATTCAGATACTTTCATAAACAAAACTGTCCAAAACAGATCGCTTTGGTACTATCACTAAACAAACTAACAGGTGACAAAAAAATTCAAAAGTTGGGTGTCAAAATTATAAATTTTAAAGGTTGTGTGATTAGAACAGAAATAAAGTGAAAATTGAATAACTGAATACGTAATTTATCCATATATAAAGGGTGTTTGATCTATCAAAATTTAGGAGTTTGATCATTTGAACAGCAACATTAGTTGCAGCCATGAACAACTTTTGAATATGCGTCAATCTATCACATGAAAGACTACAACGGTGCTAATAAAATTTAGGGTAAAGTATATAAATGGTTCATCGATTATACGATATTGTTTTGTTAAATATCTCGACTATTAAAAGTTACAAAATAGACTTACGACTATAGATGTTGCTTTATTGAGTCACCTGACTATTAAAAGTTATAAATTTGATTATTTGACTATTCATTAGGTTTCAAATTCGTCTTTTTTCGTTAAAAAATTAACGACCATCTAAGCTAGATGTTAATCTATTGTATGAGTTATGATAGTAGTTTGAGACTCTCAAATCAGATTTTATTATATCTCAGACAACAAATTAACATCCAACTCAGATTGTCGTCATTTTTCTAAAGGAAAACGACGTATTTGGAACATAACAAATAGTCGGGTGACCGTTTTGTAGCTTTTAATAGCCAGATGACTTAACAAAACAACATCATATAGTCATAGTCTCATAGGACAATTTTGTAACTTTTGATAGTCATAAGACTCAAAAAAAATAACACCATATAGATAAGCGATCATTTGTATACTTTAAATTTACAACGATTATTTCTTTTCAGATTCAATTAGAACGTTTTTCATATTTGAGGTAAATTTAAGCTGTTACGTAATTCAGCCCCAAAGAATATGGCATTTTAACCCTAGTTAAAGACAAAGACGGATGCATGATTTTATATTTGGGGGTGAATTTAAATTTAGGAGAGTGAACTAAAATAAATTTTTAATAGAAAATACATAAAAATCTAAAATATATGATAATTTTAAATGCTTAAGGCACGACTACCCCACCTATCCCTCGATCCATCTCTGGTCAATGATTAAGAAAACAAAATATTGTTATGTTCCAACAAATAAGTGACCACAGAATGAGTACTGTGGCTAAAGATGTGTAGGACATTGGATCGTATGTGCCCATTTCTCTTTATTGCTTTGCTTTGCTTTGCTTTTTCCTCTTACGCTAGTGGAAAACCAGAACTTGCACTCGAAGCATTCTATCATGTACAAATTTGTTGGCAAATGGTACTATTTTATTGTACCATTCTTTCCTTTGGTCGATTATGGGGTCTCATGTCTCCTATTGCAGCGAATCTAAACACTATTTTAAGAGCTTAATCTTACGAGTCCATGACTGTCATTTAGCAAGTAAATTGGTGACATCCAAGTAAATTAGTTCAATGCATTGAAGATTGAGAGAATGGACTCATTTTCCCAAGCAAGAAGATGATAGAAAGATGTGAAATTTGAGTGTTTACAAGAAGGCAAGTCATGTTAGGATGCAAGTTGTATTCAATCCATTGAATCGATTAATCTAATAGTTCGATTATATATTTTGATAAGATTTGATAAATCTCAAATTCGAGTATTTATGATTTCGATAAGGCAAAAAGGCATAAGAAGTTCATGTACTTTTGAAAAAGAAAGGAAAAGAATGTGGCATTCGTATTATTTTTCCACTTAATGTAGCCTTTTAACTCATAAAATAAACCTAATGTAGCCCTTTGACTCATAAAATAAACTTAATGTAGCCCTTTGACCAACGTTTTTCATTGTTGATCGTTACAGTGATGATATGATCGTTCACGATACTAATATGGCAGTCCACGATATTGGCATAACGTTCCATGCTGATGGATAAACGTGACAGATGATAAGACAGATTAGCTAAATTGGTAACTCAAACATGTACTATAGACCGCCACGTCAGCAGACCTTCACATCAACACCAAAAACTAGTACACCAATATTATAACAGTTAACGGCGAAAAATGTTGGTCAAATAATCACATTAAATTTATTTTATGAATTAGAGGGTCACATTAAAAGAAATAATAATACGAGAATAAATTAAAATTAGCTTGAGGTAGAGCACAAGGTTCTTAACCATGAGGTCGTGAGATCGAGTCCCACAGAGGACATTTCATAATTTGGAGGTCTCCCACGGAAGCTGCTCTCAACCTGGTGTTGGGGACAACCTACTATCTTACCTCCCCTTACCCCGTTACATATGGGAATAAGGGTCAGCTAATTTTAATTTAATAATACGAGAATCATTTCATTTTATTTTCATAGTCACATATACCTCTTATGCCTTTTAAATTGTAAGTCTAATCACTACCACTGTTATACCTAAAAGGACAATGGGGTGGAGTTAGATGATATCGGATGGGTGAAGATTTTCAATTTCCCTCTTGTGCTTGTTTTGTTGCTCATCAAAGATGAAAGAGATAATGAAAGGAAACGGGGATGTCGACGATGTATTAACAGGACATAAACTTTGAGACAAAAAACCCTACATTCTTAGGTACACACCATCCCTTTTAGGTACCATACACACATGCTTGCCCAAACCTCCCAATCCAATCAAACCTACATGTCTAGATCCATTATTATTACAATTATTACGTCTAAATATTTTATCATTATAATTTTTTTATTAATATGTGATAAGTACAAAATAGTATATGTTCATAAATAATTATCAATTTTTCGACATTAAACGCTCACACTCTTGACATCTATGGTGCTCGAACCCGGGTTCTCGAAGAATAATAATTTAAAATTATTTATTAATTTTTCATTTTAGGTCACGTTTTTAATTTCTTTTATCTATTTTTTTGGCATCATATCTCATTTCATCATATATTTTATATAATTTGTAATGATAATTTGATTTTTAACTCTAATTTCATTTAATTGAGACAATAAAGCTTTTAAACATATTTGATTTTTTTTTATCAAAATAATTCAATTTAATAAAAATTTTGTATCGATGAATATTTCTTTAATTATTTAAAAACTATATTTAAAATAAATGGTTGGTAAATGAATTTGACGAGTAAGATCTTTAATTATCTAATCCTAATCCTACCTAGAGGGATTAGGGAGGGAAAATATTGTGTTTTTTTCTTTAATTCTAAATATTTAAAGGGATGGTTCATATATACAAATTTTTATTTATTTTAATGATTTATTTAAAGGGTATTTTTTAATATGTTTATTGATCATGAACCGATTTAATAATAAAAATACTTTTTAGTTATAAAAATAATTTAATGGCATATTAATTTTTGAGTTGAAATTGTACTCAACTTTAAACAACCAGTCTTAAATTTAATTTCTATAATTAACAAGACTTTAAATAAATAACTATACTTTTTTAACAGAACTAAAGAACTATAATTAAATATAATTTAATTAACATAAATTATAAATGAATTTAGAATACCAGCGTTATAGAAACCTGATATTGACTACATTCATTCTTACATTGCGTAAAATTACAATTAAACCCTATTTTTGTTTCTTATTCTTTTCTTCTCTTTTTGTTTAACAGATAATAAGACTAGTATTAATGTAAGTTGTCCACTGCTTATATATTTTTTTTTTTACTTTTTTATACCACGTTTTATTTTTAATTTTTAATAATTTTGTATTTATGACATACTTTCGTTTGTTTTTATAATATGATCTTCTTTGTCTTTGACACGTTGTAGATTGTTTCATCATGTTTTTTTGTTTAATTTTCTCGTGGTTGGATTTGGTGATTCTTTGGGTGATCAAAATTATGTTTATTTGTTATCACATTAATATTCTTTGTTTTAGGCTTTTGGATTGGATTCAGATAACAGTTTATGTTCGAAGATAGTTTGCTCACGATGTTTTACTCTGATTTGTGATTATCAGTGATATTTAAATATTTTGATTCCCACTTCGTCTTAGGGATGGACACGCGACCCGAACCCGATGTGTCATTTTTTTAAAAATTGGGTCCCAATTCGGGTTTTTTAGAGGGTAGGTTCGAGTCGGATCGGGTTTGGATTTAAGGTGAAAAAATCTGACCCGAACTGAAAAATAATATAAAAATACCTTATATATTTAGGGATAATTGGAAGAATACCCATCTTTATATTATTATTATTTTTCAATTAAGTCCCTATTTATTAAATAAAATCAATATTTTTATATTATAAAGGTCGGGTCGGGTCAGAGTCGATTTTATCTCAAAGTCAGATTGGGTGAAATTACTCTAAACTCTGGTCGGGTCGGGTAGAGGGTATAAAATTTTTGGGTCGTGTCGGGTCGAGTTGGCTGGAAACCCAATCCAACTCGAACCATGCCCATCCCTAGTTCGTCTGCTGATACAGTTAGATCTCTTTATATCTATATTATGTTTGAGTTTTTCAAATGATTTTTTAATCTTTTGTTTGTATGATATTTCAAGTGTCTAATTTATTGTGTTAATAGTTATATGAATAATCCCTAATTATATGTTATTATAATAGTGGATATTTTCTTTCCTTTTAATAAAATTAACCGTTTCTATTTACATGAAAAAACCATAACCATAACTATAATTATATATATATATATATATATATATATAATTCTTGATAAATTTTATAATAAAATAATAAATATTATGTTTTTGAATTCGTGACTTGAATAGATTAATTAAAATTTTAAATTAATTTGAATTTGAATTAAAATTTAAAGTTCTAGATAAAATTATTATGACTTTATTTTTTATTACATAAATTTATATTGTTACTTTTTAAAGTTTCAATCAAATTTAGTTAAATTCTGACTTAAATAAGTAAATCGAATTTTTAACTTTAATTCAATTCTCGTGTTAAAATTTTAACTTAATTAAGTTGAACAATCTTAGGAGTAATATTTTATATATTTAAATATTCTTTAAAATATTATCTATTTTATAGAAGATATTTATTATTAGTAGTCCAAGAGAAGTATTTATTTTTAATTACGAAAAGGTATTGATGGGCCAAAATTTCCACATAAAAAGGCGCAGTAATCAAAACTCCCACGCATTTCTAAAGCGAGCTTCCAAAGCACACGATCCCATATATGATGATGATGGAAGAGGAGACGACAATTATGGCGGCAATCTCCACTCTCCGCCCTTCTCAGCTTTCAGATCTCAGCTACTCCATATTCTCCCTCTCTTTCCACCACCGCCGCCGTCTTTTCCACCTTCTCTCCTCCCCTTGTCTCTTCTTTCTCACCCTCCACCGCCTCCACACTCTATCACTCCCCCAAAAGACCCTCCTCATCGCCCGCCACCTCCCCTTTTCCCTCCACCACCTCACCCGTCACTTCCAGCCTCCACCTCCACGTCTGTTAAACCGTTCCACCACCATAAACCACCGCGATCTTGACGCCGTCCTCCTCCTCCTCTTTCTTTGTGAAGCATACCATGATAACCCGGAAGCACTCGAGAGACCTCACGCTGAATGGCGCCAAGTCTTAACTAGTATATGCTCGAACAACACGTTGAAGATCACCGGTATCATCGGCATCTTCGACGGTGCCGCTTTGATCCCGTATATCGAAATGGTGACAAGGTGCAAGAGGCTGGTGGGAATAATGGGTTGCGGTGGGAAAGAAGGGAAGGAGGTGGCGGCATCGCCAGAAGCGGTGGTGTCTTTGCCGGCGGTGGAGGTGATAGGCGGTGGCGTCGAGTGCGTGATATGCAAAGAGGAGATGAGAGAAGGACGAGAGGTGTGTAAGTTGCCGTGCCAGCATTTGTTCCATTGGATGTGCATATTGCCATGGCTGAAGAAGAGGAATACATGCATTTATTATATAAACTATTAATTTTGGTCCGTTTTAATATTTAAACTTTTAATATTTTTAAAATAATATCTAACATTTAGTTTTCATCTCATTTTAGTATCTGTTGTTTAAAATTTAACGTGTTTAGTACCTAAACTATTAATTTTGGTCTGTTTTAGTATCTAAACTTTCAAAAAAAATAAAAATTTAACGTTACATTTTGAACGAAAATATTAAAATGAAACAAAAACTAAACTTTAGGTGTGATTTTAAAAAAAATTAAAAGTTTAGGTACTAAAATAGACCAAAATTAATAATTTATATACTAAATACGTAATTTACCCCTAAATTTAATATACATTTAAATTCATCAAATAATTTTAATAATTAAGAAAAATATTATTCTTCATAGAGAACACGATCGGACAAAGAACACTGGGTCTTCAAGCCTCGATATTATGAAACCAAGCCCAAATAATAAAATTGGGCCGGAAAATCATTCATGAATGGGACAAGTTGTGGGTAAACATTTTAATTTCCATATATTTGAGAACACAATAATATATATATATATATATATATATATATATATATATATATATATATATATGGGGCAGTATCTTATTACATTCGATGTAAAACTAAAATTTTAACATCTTTTTATGACCGTTAGATAAGAAAAATCAAATGTTGAAATTAACAATAGAAAATGAAAAGATATCTCATCCTTTGATTTCTTCTCGTCTAACGGTTCTAAAAAGATGTAAAACTCTTAATTTTACACCGGATGTTAGTGAATTATATATATATATATATATATATAAGGATAATTTGCATTCTAAATAAGTAAATTTAATTTCAATTTCATTTAGATTATAAAATATCAATTTAATTTAATTATATTATTTAACTTTTATTATTAGCAATGTAAGTCCTTTATAATAACATCGATAAATAATTTAACAAAAAATTAATACTTTTATTTAACATGATTTTCACATATAATTATCAAATAATATTTAATTAATAATTTAAATAGTTTTTATAAAAATTTATAAGAGAATTAATAATTTTTCCTTCAAATTTGTTTAAAAGATTTTTTTCCAATAATAATAAATGCAACGTCGTATGATAATAATAATAAAATAATTCAGAGTGATCAAAACAAGAACAATTCGAAAGTTTAATAAGAAATTAAAAAAAAAATCAAAAGTACACCAAATAGAATAGGAGATAAAAGTTCAGTTAAGAATCGTGTAATTTACCCTAAAATTAAATGTGTGTTGAAGTTATAGCGGCCAAAAAAACTATGGAAATATAAATGGCCGAACATTCTGGTTTGGTGGATGAATATGAAGAGCCAACTGAGGATATGATAGAGTCCAAGCCTTGCTCTTGGATACCTACAATAGCAGCTAAGTTAAAAGTTTGAAAAAGAAGAGGAAGAGGAAGAAGAAGAACCCCATTGTTTGCTGCAGGCCAAAGCTTACTCTTTTAGGCATTTTTTCTGTACAAAGTCGCTTACTGAATAGTGACTGAACTCTGATCTGTTAAGATCATTGTACAATGCAAGTGATTGCTTGCAGCAAAATGGCTGTCCCTTTTTTTCATATATATGGGGTAAGGGAGAGGTAAGATAGTAGGTTACTCCCAGGTTGAGAGCAGCTTCCGTAAGAGACCTCCAAATTGAAATGCCCTCCGTAGGACTCGATCCCACAACCTCCTTAGGTTCTTCTTCTTCTTTTTTCACCTTTATGATTTGTGCTTCGTAATCTAACGTGGGTTTCTTCTGTTCAGTGAAAAGAAGATGGGAGAAGATGACGGAATGAGGACAGTGGAGTGCTTGAGAGGAAGGCTTCTTGCTGAGAGACAAGCATCCATGGCTGCTAAAACTATGGAAAGTAGGGTCAGTTTTTGAATCCATCAATTTGGGTTTTAAGCATTGTTCATTATGTTTCAGTGTTTTAAGAGATCTGAAACATGTGTTTGTTGTTCTCGAGTTTGCAGCTGCCTGAACTTGAGAACAAGCCCAAACAAGAGACCAAATCAAGGAACAAAGCTGAGAAGAGGCTCAAGTTGTTGAAGAAAAAGCTTGAATCCCTCAAAATATTGCCTTGTTTAGGAGAATCAGAGAGGTCAAGCTCATCTCAAAGCTCTGCACTTTCATTATATTTTAGGTTGAATAATATAACTTTTTAGGTTAAAAACCACCTTAAATTAGGTTTAAAATTTTAAATTAAACTGCCGCACAGCATAACTGTCCATAATTTGATCGCTTTGTACCATCCATTTGATCAGTTCTTCAAGCTTGGAACCTTCAACAATGGAGATTAACGCGACGAATTACGATGATGATGATGAATACGTTGATAACTCATTTGCATTGGTTCCTCTGGAGCTCCGAGAAACAAAGACGGTCCCTGACTTACATATAGGCAGCAAAAATGTAGGTGAAGTTCTTGATGTTCTAAGGCATGCCAGAGAAGGAATTCCGAGCTCAATGGAAAGAAGACAGATGTTCTTTTTGTTGTCCCTCTCATTGCATGTGATGTTGGGGTGTAGGACTGTAAATCAGTCGAGTCGGTTCGGTGAATTCTATTCGAACTTTTTTTAAGTTATTTTGATTCGATTAGAAAGTTTACAAGCTTAAAATTATTAAGGTAGACTCGAAATTAAAAATTTAAGCTCGACTTGAGCTCATAAAACTTGAACTTAACACATTATCTGACGTAACTTGATTGAACCTCGAACCTAAATATTAATATTATTAATAATTTAATTTTAAAAAAATAAAAAATCATGTTTTGAGTTGTTCGTGAACTTTTCAAGTCGAGTTAGAAGAAAAAACGTTTTCTACCTATGTGGTGACAACACATGCACATGGAGAGTTGAAATAGAAGAAAAAAATAAGTACCAAAAATAAAAATAAAAAACATTATACGAATTTTGTTAAAAAAATAAATGCGTGCGATACGTTCTACAACACGTAATTACATAAGCTTTTGTCTAGCAGCGACGACGCAAGTGTATTAGCCTTATGCTCAATCATTCAACACATACATGTTTAAAAAGTTATACTTGAACAAAGTACATTTGGTCGATTGGTCATGTTACTCATCTTTGTTCACTCATATTACTTTAGGTCATGAGTTCTAAAGCCACTATAAGCACTCATCTTCCTTCCCCTAAAGTTCTCTCTTCCCCTCCCCTGTATGTAAAATTGAAATTAGATTTTAAATTTGTCGAAAAATGTTATATTTGAATGCTTGAAAACTCACATATCTGAATAATGTGAGATTTGAGAAGCTCACGGGGTTTTCAAATCTCATGTTATTTAAATATATATATATATATATATTCAATTATTTAAATATAACCTTTTAAACATATATTTATTGAGTAATTGAACATAAGCTAACACACACTAAACCCAAAGAGCTAGAATAACACAAGGGAGAAAAGAAGAAAGATAATAATCAAACTAAATATCCATTAGTTAACTTAATTAAAAATCTATAATATTTAATTTGAATCAAATTATTTATAAAAATATTAAATTAACATAAATTAACTATAATTTATTCAACCGAATTTTAAATTAGCCATTTTTTTTTCACTTTTGTTAAGTTCGGTTTAATTAATTATGTTAGTATTGAGTTTAAAATATGAAAAATGAGTTGGATACTGATTTATCTTTGAAAAACATGAAAATAACATTTCATAACTTCAAATTTTAATCTTTATTTTACTTTTAGGTTGAGTTTACTTATATTAGTATCATGTATTGGCAATGAATGCTCAAATACATCTATAAATGATATATTTGAATTAGGGATGAGCATGAGATCCGAACCCGACGGATTCCGACCCGACCCGACCCAATCTAATCGGGTTGGGTTTTTTTTAATTTCGGGTTCGTGTCGGGTTGGGTCAGATTCGGGTTTAGGGTGAAAATACATGACCCAACCTGACCCGTAAAAAAAAATAATTTTACCATATATATTTATGAATAATTACAATAATATCACTCTATATATTAATTTTCAATTAAATCATTGTTTTTTATTGAATAAAAATAATATTTTATTATTATTTCGGGTCGAGTCAGATCGAGTTCAGATTTTATCTCAAAAAAGTCGGGTCGAGTTCGGTTGGATGGAGAATATATATTTTTCGGATCGAGTCGGGTCGGTGAAGGATGTAAAATTTTCGAGTCGGATTGGGTTAACCCAAACCCAACCCATGCTCATTTCTAATTTGAACTAGAAACCTCTAAAAGTAATAACCATCCGCGTGGTGTAAAGAAGTTATAAATAACAGGAAATATGTACAAAACAAACAAACAAGAAATCCATAAAAAAGGAAGTTGAGGCTCCAACCTGGTTTCCTGAGGAAGCAATAAAGAATGTGAGATGATTGGATCTTCTGGGTAGTAGAGTAGATTGACAAATACAGAAAACTGATCACATTACGGTGGCCATTAATGGTTGTACAGTGAGATTACGGCGTTCATGGTCCTGGTGGTGGAATGGAAGGTGACCCAAATTCTTCTGATTTTGGCTATCCAACTGCCGGAAATTATTCATCTACCCAACTTATCCAATGGACCCCAAAGATTTCAGTCCTTCCTTTTCATCCCTTCAATTAGCTGATTAAGAGAATGCTTTGCCATGATTTTAATCACAAATCTTTTATTAAAAAAACCATCACATCAACTACAGTACATAGGTAAAATTTTGACAAGTCCACATGATGAATCCGATAACGAAATATAATATTTGTCAACAAGATCTATTTATTAACCTATGTATAGTCATAATTATCATATCAATTTTCTTTTCCTTCTTTACTCTTATCATTTCTTTATTCTTTCGTCTTTCTCACAAATAAACACTAACCAACCATCGCTGCCTCACTGATTACAACTTTCCATTTAAATCAGAAGAGATGAATAATCAACGATCGATGAAATAAATTTGTTCCATCAACAAAAAAAAAAGATACCTAATCTTGTTTTACAAAAATGAAGGACTGAGGGAGGAAATTACAGAATGTTTCTAAATTCTGAATGACGTGTGATTAAAGTAAATTATGAACAAAACTTGCCTAAAACCTTGGTTTGTTACGCCAAATATGTATACAAAAATGAAGCTTGATATCTCAGCCATGCAATAATCTGATGGTGTCTGAATTCTTGGTTATGTACTTCTAAGCATGGTGGAACAAACAGAAACCTGAAAATGGTTAAATCCTGTTGGAAGCCGTCTATTGAGGGTGACTCTAGAGGGTGCCTTGATGGGTTGTTGTATAAAGATTTGGGGCAACATGTGTATGGAGATTTCTCAATGGCAGTGGTTCAAGCCAATAGTTTGTTGGAGGATCGAAGTCAACTCGAATCGGGGTCGTTGAGTTCAAGTCGTCGTTCTGGTCCGTACGGGACTTTCATCGGTGTGTATGGACATGGTGGACCTGAGGCTTCCAGCTTGATCAATGACAACTTTTTTTGCAATTTTAAGTGTAAGTCCATTTCTGTGATATTCCTTCAATATGAACTTGGCAACAGAAAGGCTTATTATGTTCCCCTTGATGCGCGGCACATGTGTCTGAGAATCAAGACGTATCGATAAATGATCTCAGAAAGGCTTTCCTGGTGACGGAAGACGAATCTTTCCCTCGTGAGGAAACAATGGCATGTTAAGCAGCAAATGGCTTCGATCGGATCGTGATGTTTGACGGGAGTGATCTGCAACGGGCTGCTATGCATTGCAAACGCCGGTGATTCCAAGGTAGTCCTAAGCAGATCAGTAAGAGGAACTAAGGAAGTTATGGCAATGCAGTTATCAACGAAACACAATGTGAATTCCGACGCCATACGGGATGAGCTACGATCGTTGCATCCCGATCCACAGATTGTTGTGACAAAACACAAAGTCTGGCGTGTCAAGGGCCTGATACAGATTTCAAGATCCATTGATGATGCATATCTAAAGAAAGCCGAATTCAACAAAGAGCCTCTCCTGCCTAAATTTAGACTGCCCAAACTATTTCAAAAGCCGATCCTCAGTGCCGAACCATCATTGTCGGTGCATAAACTCCACCCGGAAGACCAGTTTCTCATATTCGCTTCGGACGGTCTCTGGGAACACTTGAACAACCAGGAGATTGTCAAAATTGTCCAGCCTAGCACACGTAATGTAAGTTCCCAAAAGCTAAGCACCAAAACAACATCGTTGAGACATTAGATTTACTCTTGTTTGTAATTGCAAGGAGACTTGTTAAAGCTGCACTGAAGGAAGCAGCAAAGAAAAGAGAAATGAGATACTCAGACCTGAACGAGATTGATAGAGGGGTGAGGAGACATTTTCATGATGATATAACAGTCATAGTTGTGTTTCTCGGCTCCCATTGGATCAATGGAAGTTCATACTATGACTCCCCTGTATCGATAAAAGCCGGACTCGCCGGTGTCTAAATGCCAGCAAAGACAGCAAAATTGAATTTATCCTGAAATTGTCGTACAAATAAGGGACTAACCGTATTCCAGTGAACTTTGTTCAAACATTTAACATAAAAGGCTATTAAGCTATACGTTTGAGGATATTTGTTCATTGTCAGTCAAAGAAACTTGGGATGAGATTGCACATAATGTGTAGATATCCAACCCAAAAACAAATTTCAAAGAAGCTTAACATTTATTAATAAAAAAAAATATTACATGACCAAACAAGCAAACATTGATTGAACAGCCTTCACTTGCAGCACAAAATACCTTGCAGAAATTAGCCAATTCACTTGGTGAGACCAATGGAAGCTACCAAACACCTAAAGGCAAGTGTTCACTCATCTTAAATACAAAATTAGAAAATTCAGAGATTCTCAATGTAACAGGCTTAGAAAAAAGTTTTAGCTTTTGGAACATATTAGTGGCTCATCACCTATGAAAATATTGCACATGACCAATCTTCATATTATAAAATCATTCCCAGCTTTCAACATTTCTCTCATGATCAGGCGCTGACCAGCAGTTGTAACATATCCATAACAACATCAAAAGGTTTTAATTAAGCGGAACAAATGCCAGTCATCACACATAGCAAGCATATGAAGGCAAGCCTGGAAACTATAGCGTCAATTAACATGCATGCTCATGCACATATCTAACCAAATTTTAGATAAAACAAGCTCGAATATATAAGATGACGGATAAAGATTGAACAAAAACAATCTCATTAGCTAAAGATAAGCCTCCTTACCAACTCCCAGACTGCAGACTTCTAATCATTTTTAATGTAAATACAGAAAACAAAGTTTGATCAAACAAAGGTATCCAAGTCTGTTATTTGTCCTGTAGCCAAAGCCAAACCCCCTCCCCCCCCACCACACACACACAAAAAATACCCCTACAAACCTTAACACATTAAAAACAGCAAGAGCACGAATTCCTAAGAAGCATATATCACTTGCTATTTTAACCCATGGAAATAGATGTCAATCTCAATATGAATACTATGGCTGTCTGACACTTTATCATACTATATAACTTAAAACAGTGTTAAGAAACAAACTCAGCAATTTTTAAATCTAATAACCACCTTCATACTTTCTCAACTAAATTATCTAACGGAAAAGTAGAAAATCTCTAGCCCATTACTCCAGAATCTCTAATAGTCTTTGCAACGATTTAAGATAGGTTAACACTCCAGGTGGTTGTTGATTCCAATAGGTATCACCAATTGAATAGACGCCATAAAACACCTTTCAAACTGCCAAAAACACCTTGCCACTGATTCAGAAATTCATATGGAGATGGCATACTGCTCTTAGAATTTTGATGTTAGAAAAAAACACTGTAAAGAAGCTTCAAGAGAATCACATGCTGTTAGGACATTGGACCTGAAAAGGAAAAGAAAACAATAATGCAAAATCTGAGCAACTGATAATAAAATGGATCAGACTATTTAAAGCTTAAACAAGAAATTCTGTCTACATACGGCAAAGAATATCTCCAAAGATACCTTCTAACTACGGTAACTTCAACTTAGAGCACTTCACCAGCCTTTCCAGCAATAGGAGCCTCCTGGAAAAGACTATACTCCTTTAAAACACAATTTTCCCTCAGATCCATGAAATTTGATAGGGAAACAACTAATTAAGCCCTAACAGGTTCAATATTTGTCTTGTCATTTACCTGTGCTAAAGAACTTGAAGGAGGATTAGAAAACCTGGAATGACCAGGAAAAAAGTCAAATTTCAATCTCAACATACAGAAACCTTTTTCAATAAAGACTTCTTTAGGCATTATATATATCTAACAATGTAGGAAAGGATGCTTTAGCACTGGAACATACCTGATCGCCCTAGCTTTTCTCTTTTCTCCTTCCACTGTGTCAGGTTTGGCATATGGTGCAAATCGGGCTAGTCGAGCTTTTTTCTTCTCTTCCTCGTCAACAGCTGTAGAGGGTACAGCAAGCCCAAACCTGGTAACCAATGAAAAGAATATATAAATCAATTAAGTGCAACTCTGAGCAATACCATGACCGGGTAAAGGTGATATGGACAAAAACCTCTCTGCTCTAGCCTTCCTCTTCACCTCCTCAGATTGCTTTGATGTTTCTGATCCCTTTGAGTCGGCTGCAGTGCCAAACCTGTAAAATTTGTCCACAAATCAACAAACATAAAGAAAACTCGTGAAATGGGATTCAACTTCCACAACTACAGTTACTAGACCTTTACCGTATAATGAAATTCCTTCCAATACACATAAAATTGAGCCAAATAGGTAACTATGTGAGATTATAAACGCGGGCTATGAAGGCAACTATGTAATATTATAAAGGAGTTACACTAATTTCTAAAGAACCAACGGAAAAAATGATTAAGAGACAATAAATTTGAAAATTAAGAGGTTCTAAGAGATTCTATACAATCTAAACAATGAACGATTTCATGAATATTAATCTAGGCTTCTCAGCGCACCAACAATCAACAATCGCATCCAAAGAAAATTTATAAGAATATAAATTTTAGAAACAAAATAAAACAACTTCTCTTCTTTTCTCTTCTCTTCAGAAATGCTCAACAACAAGGTATAAAAAACCAAAAGGAAAACCCTAAATAACACCTAAAACGAAAAAGGCAAAATAGAATTTACCTCTCGGCCCTAGAATTACGCTTCTCTTGCTCAGACAACTGGACAGGCACGCCGAACCGCTCAGCTCGGCGAATCTTCTTCTGGATACCGTTAACGGGACCGCTGCTATCCCCTGCGACCGAGCCCACAATAGTCCCGGTGGTCTGCGATCCCTCTATTTCCTTTACTGTTCCTTCAGCATTGGAAAGAGTAAGAGTGGTAGCAGGATCTGGCTTATCCGTGGAGGATGGCATGGTCTTCTTAGGGTTTGGTTCTGTGAATGAGTTGGCGGCTGCGTGAAGAATATGAAAGAGGGAAGCGTCTCGGTGGAACTTTTCCTTCACGATAAATGGGAAAGCGTTGGGATGTTTTTCCCTTATGAGTTGTAGGGCCCGCTTTTGTAAATGTTTTTCTTTAATTTGGGCTATTTAAAGAAATCTTACATTTTTTATCAAAAAAAAAAGAGAAATATTACATTACAAATATAATATTATTACCATATTTGGTTTTACAATATTATTTAAATATTTAATGATAATATTCTAAGCTTATTAATAGTAAATATTATTTTAAGAAAAAAAAAGTAAATAGAAAATTATGCAATAAGCTGAAGGCAGGGAGTCCGGAAAACTGGCCCTCATGAACCAACTTTCGTAGGAGAAAGTTATATATTGTCAGCTTGGTAACCGGTCTCCTCGATATGCCTCTCGGTGTCCTCGATCGGAGCCTTTCTCGATACCAAATACGAAGTCATCATCACTTGACTTTGATTGTAGGCGAATTGGGATCGGCGGCGGCGGCTGCATGATTGGTGTTCCTAAGTGGCATCTCATGGTTATGTTTACCTTCATATGTTGTAATGAAAGCTCTCGGATCGTCCGATGCTCTTTCCATATGCTTCCGTACATTGCATTTCAGATTAGTGCATCTGTAGTAACTTCTGCAAGCGAAATTACCGTAACCAGTTAGAAGAAAAAAGGAGCAAAAACTAAATAATTAGCATATGTTAACAGCTCCGATTTTAACAAACATCGATCCATGTCCGAAAATCAAGCAATCTTGAGGCTGAAATCATTACATTGTTATGACAGACAACCTTGAACCAACTGCATGGCAAAGGTTTAGATGCTGCTAAATTAAGCCCCTAGAGATCACTTGTATAATGTATATGTATGTATGTGAAGTGTATTATTTCAACCTGGGGTATGGATTTCCCTTCACCACCTTCTGCCCATATTTTCTCCATCGAAAGCCGTCTCCGATGATCTCGGAATCGGTAGAACTCTGCATTACAACACGAGGTTCTTGTATGCATTCCCCTAAGGTGCCCACTTCACTTGATTGATTCTCATTTCTCCTGAAGGAAACGGATCACGGTTATTCAAAATAAATCAGGCTTTGATTTCAATTTTCACGGACAATCAGCTAATTTTCTTACCTTCTTTTACTTCTAGATTCGTCGCCTGCTACATCTTTGTTCCCTTCCTCGCATTCCCCACTTAGTCCAACCGAAGTCTCGGAAGTTCCACCGGCATTAACAGCTCCGGCCATAACATGTTCGTAAGGCAGCGGAGCTTTTCCTTGATAATCCGGAGGAATATACAACCCAACTTCATTACAATTTTCAACTCTACTCTCGGAACCTTCGTTCCTTTCATTATAATTATTACTCCACAAGGGAATGTTGTTGGCATCTTGACTGGTTCCATCAGAACTAAATCCCACCCCTTGAGGCGAGTTTCGTTTGGCAGGCTGAGGTTTTGAATGGTTATGTTCACCCTTGTAAACAATTTCAGCTATTTGTCCATCAAATGATCTTTCAACTTTCTTCTTCACCGGACAATTCGGATGCGTACACTTATAGTAGCTACGCGGATATTCACTTCCTTTCACTTGTTTTTGTCCGTATTTCCTCCAATTATAGCCGTCGTAAGAAGGTCGATCGCTGTTCGCTACTGCAGGTAATGCTTTGGGGTCCTCGTCCATGTTCTGAGATCCCACCTTTGAGGGTTTACTTGTCTGATCTGTTTCTGTATGTGATTGAGTATTGCGATGAAGATCTGGTCTAGCTGGTACCTCCATTGATTGCAGAGTTAATTCATTGCTAGCGCCGAAATTTCCCTGCAAAAGAAAGGGGTCATATCTACAAGCATGGCATCGGTAACGAGCATCCGACAGGAGAAACTGACCAATTAAGAAAAATGTAGACAGACTGACCATGTTTGCTAATAGAGAAACAGTAGTCTTCGATACAAGCTTTGCCTGTGGTTTGTACACCGCCGTGGTAGATTTGACATCGGATTTTAAAACCTTATCCGATGAGATCGAAATGCCTATTCCGGACTGCTCTGCCTGAAATCAACCCATGGCTAAAAGATGAGAGGTTGAAAGATGTAGAAATGAGAAAGATATCCAGATGAAGAGGAAACCTGGGAAGAAACTGTGGCTGATGGAGCATGGTTGAAAACCGGTTTGAACCTCACCGTCTTCGGCCTAATTGCAGGCACTATGTTTTCGGAACAGACATTAGGGGGTGAAGCATTAATAGCTCCTGAGAGGAGCTCCGAGAAGGACTTAAAACTGGAGTAGGTAGGCCTTGAAGCTACTGGTTTAGCTATAACTATCCTCTCTGCTTCTTTAACCTCCATTTCAGTAAGTGTCTTGGAAACGCAATTTACACCACCCCTCCAAAACCGATGAAGCCAGATAACAGTAGAAAATATGTACTGGTGTTCTCGAGAAGGAAAACTCGGTGAAAGACAATGAGCAGAAGATTTGTTAGAGGTCACTCTTTGTAGGTGTCGGCTTCGGTAATTCACGGCTCACAATCAACATATTCAGACCTACATGTTGCAGGGTTATATAAACAGAAGATCAAATCAACAAGACATGTTAGAAACGAAAGTTACATGCATATGAATCTGTGTTCACAAAATGAGATGATTGAATCTTCTAAGCAAAACAAATATATACATATATACCAGTAGCGAAATCTGCTTATGCAGTTGATGAGAATTTGCTCTAGTTCAACATAGAACCATATTCCGAAGCTAATACGAATATATGGTCATCTCTACGACCTATATAATCGAAAAAAATGACTAAATTTGGCATCTCGAAGACGAAACAATTGGCTGTTGCAGAACATACCAGCAGTCAAACTAGGACACAGGCAAAAGTTCAAAATTCAACTCTCCAATAGCAATTCGAAGCAAACTTTTCACTTAGAAAAATGAAATTGAGGTGAAACATGCCATGAACTTCCATTTTATGGAACAGTTTCCTTGTTATTTCCCAGAATTTCTGACCAGCTGATGGCATGTAAAATGATGCTAAAAAATTGCAGCAACTAATCCACAAAGGATTCACCTTAATACTATTTAGAAGAAACCTTTTGGCTAACAGATGGTCTTCTTCAATGGTGATCGAGACCTCAAAAACTTACTTTGGAGGTTAATAAATTAGATTAACAAACTTCCCACAGAGCCTAAATTCCAGACTTTGAACTAAAACCCAGAAAATTATGGAGCATAAATTCAGAGATATAACAATAAAAACAGAGCTAAAGAGGAAGAAAACTGACCGGAATAGAAGATAAGAAACAAAAATAGCAACTTGATTTTGCTTCCATAAAATCTCATTTATTTTCACTCTTTTCAGCTCAGTCTGCATAATAGACCCAGGAATTTAATGAGAGAAAAAAACATAATTTTATTAGCAGGAAAAAAAGAAGAAGATCTACAAGAAAAATCGAAGAACAAGGAGAAACCTCAACCAGTTAACAGATGAAACAAAATACTTATGTTCAATGAATACATGTATGCATGTATACAAGAAATGATGTTTCCTTCTGTTCTTGAACTTATTAAAGGAACCCAGAAATAAAAAAAATGAAAAAAAATACCAGCTTTGCAGACAGGAAGAAGAAAGGGGTTTAAGCTGAAGTTGATTTCATAGATAAGATCTTCAATGTCTGCGAGTTCATCATAGCTTTTGTTTACTAGGGGAAAACAAATAAAAGGAAAGGTGGTACTTTGTTTTTCATTATAAAAATTGTCCATACAAATGAATTTGAATACATTCTATTTAAATCAATATATTAAGTGTGGAAATAATCATAAATTTGGTGACTAAGTTCATAACTTTTTGAAAATAAGTAGACCTTTTAGTAATAATGTGAGGATTAGTTGGGGGTGTTTGGAATGTTAGTTGGGACGAGAGTAGATGAAAGAGAAAGATGGGGTTGGGTTGGGTTGGGTTGGGTTGGGTTTCCTAAACTTTCAAACCGAACTTCTTCCTCGTCACTGACTGGTAGTTGTGTCTTGTTCTGTTTCACACGTGGCGATGTTAAAGTCACATGAATTGTAAACGAGCAGAGTCTAGTTAAAGTATTGTTGAACTCGACTAGATTGGACTCAAAAATTTTAAAATAAAGTTTGAATTAACACAAAAACTCACGAGCCAAAAATACTTAAGATCGACTCGAACTCGAAACTATGAATTTAAGCTCGTCAAAGCTCGAAAAAACTTGAAATAAAAAAAAAATAAACTTAACTTGATTGAAATCTCAAATTTATACACGAACTTGAACCTTAAATAAATAAAAAATTTATATTGTGTTTAAAAAAATCAACACATAAATGTTAATATTATTAATAATTTATTTTATACAAAAATAAAATATTAATATATCATATTTTCGAGCTGCTCACGAGCTTTTCTAATCAAGTATTAAGTAACTCATTTCGACTCGTTAAGAACTCGAGTCGAGACCATTCGAGTCGAGTATTTATCGAACTTTGACTTAGTTTATCTCGAGTAACTCATGACATGTCTCGTCTCATTTACATCCCATCACATGAGTAAATAATAAATGGGCAAAGTATATAAAATAGTCCCCCGATTATATAATGTTACTTTATTGAGTCTCTCAACTGTTAAAAGTTATAAAATAGTCATTCGATTATAGGGCGTTGCTTTGTTCAGTCTTTCGACTATTAAAAGTTATAAAATAGTCGTATGACTATTCATATGTTTCAAACTCATCCGTTTCTGTTAAAAAATTAACGACAATCTGAGCTAGATGTTAACTTGGATATGTTAGTCGTTTAAGATTATGGGATCGAATCTTATCATATCTCAGTCAATAGGTAACGTCTAGCCATACTGTAATCAACTTCTAACAAAAAATGATGAGTTTGAAACATATGAATAGTCAAGTGACCATTTTGTAACTTTTAATAATGGGGACTCGACAAAATAACATCATATAATTAGAGGATTGTTTTATAACTTTTAATAATAATTAACTCAATAAAACAACATCATATAGTCAAGGGACTACTTTACCCATAATAAATATCAAAAGCAAAAAGTTTTTGCTTTTACCCGCACTTTTTTTTAATAGGTAACTTTACGTTTGGTCCACGGCAAACTTTTTAACTCTTATTTTTATCGTTAAGATAATTTATTTTAACTTATATTATTATAGTATTTTAGTAAGATAAGATATTATTTTTTTATGATAGAATTTGAATTAAATAAAAGAGCATGCGACAAAGTAAACAAATAAAAATAAAAGTAAACGAATTTTAAGATATTAATGCTAAATGAATATGCTATTATTTTTAAAAAAAATTAAGTTCGAGTCTACAAAATATATGTATAATGTATTTTTAATTGATTAAAAAGTTTCGAACATATATTATTTTATAATCACCTAAATTATTAAAAAAATAATTTATAAGTGAAACTTATACCTCTAAATAAGCCAAAACTTTAAAAAATAATTTTTTTAATTTTTCAAAAATAATTTATCTTTGATGCTTCAATTTTTGCAAAATAATCATTTTCCGAATGAATTCAGTTATCATGTTGTTAACATGTAAATTTTTTTAAAATTTTATTTATTAAATAATATAATAAATAAAACGTAAAAAATTAAAGTGTGACAATGAAGTAAACTTAAATTAGTATATTTGCCAATATTTTTTAATTACAATGACTTGATTTTGAAAATCATTTAGTTTTATCAATTTTTTCATTTGACTAATATTGACCATTACGATGAATATGATAGATATAACCCTTAACATATATATTGACATGATAATTCACGATGCTAACATATTAATCCATATACGAGTAATAACATAGAGAGGAAATTAACTTTTAGCAAACTTATGAGGACAATTGAATTTTTATGTAGTTTAAAGAAATAATTGATTTTAATTGAAATTCAAACTTATTTAATCTTTAAGGAAATAAAAAATTAGAAATTATTAAAAATATAAACTATTGAAAAAGTTATAAATATATGTATTTGATATATTACCATCTCTGGGCTTGGACAATATGTAAATTCCTACACATACCCCAAGATTCCGGTTCAGTTCAGTCAATTAACCGAACCAACTGATTGAACACCCCTATGACTAATGACTAGTGGTTGGCAAGCAACGATTGGGGTAATTGTTGGTTGCCGGATTTTGGGCAACCTTTAGAATTCTGGGTTTAGATGAACATGTATGACTAATGACTAGTGGTTGGCAAGCAACGATTGGGGTAATTGTTGGTTGCCGGATTTTGGGCAACCTTTAGAATTCTGGGTTTAGATGAACATGAATAACAAGAGAATGAGAAACGAGAGAAAAGAAGAAATAAAGAGGGGGGAAAGGGGGAAAATGAAGGAAAATAAAACCACAAGTTGCTAACTTTTTAACTTTAAAAAATCGGATGTGTCAAATTGACAATCAGAGCAACTTCTTCAAGCATACTTGCCACAATTTCAGCTTTCCGATCATAAGAGATCCAAGAGTCGAAAGATGAACGATGAAGTTGTACTTATATCACAACTATAGTTTGCAGCAAGAAAATATAGTTTCCACAATGATTTCACCATTGTGGAAGTATTATTTCTGAAAGGGATATGAAAATCTCTCACAAAACCTTCCCTTTGTTTCTGTCTCAAATTACGATACAGCATATTCTCCTTTGTAAGCAAATATATAATAATCTGGCCAAGGAAAAGTTTTCAAAGCGTTTCTTTGCAAAAGGATAACAAGTATCTTTAGCTTGTGAATGCAAAATCGATAAGCATGCTACTCCAGCATGCAAAGAATACGAGACTTGCCTATAAAACTACAGTAGTCTGTAATACCTTATGCTGCAACAGACTGCCTTTCATCAAACTCGTCGAGGTTGAGAGCCTCCAGCAACTTTGGCCAAGATTCAGGGATGCCTCCTGGTAAATCAAATTCCATCAACTTCCCTTGATTGCTGTAGTAGTCCTCCAAAGGCTGACTCTGTCAGCAAAATTGGACACCGACAAATGTTAATGGTGAACGAAGAAAGTATATCAGCAGTAAAGAGAATCTGAAAATGCAAACTTTCATTTTGTATGGGCACCGTATGAGCATCTTGATTCCCACCCCACCCTATCTCAAAACAAAGGTAAAAATCTCCTAAACTAAAATTCAATAATCATCCAGGCTGCTAGCATTTTATGACCATCAATTAACCTCTAAACCATTTATTCTAATTCACTGAGGACCCAAATACCTATTGTCACAAAATTGAGCGATTGGATGGAAACCGATGATGTCTTTCACCAATTTTCGCCTAACTCAGGGTTCTTACTTCTTTTTTTGATTAAGCTAACTCAGGGTTCTTACTTCTTTTTTTGATTAAGCTAAGGTAATTACAAATTAGTATATGTTCTAAATACTCTCAACCATTTGACAATGAAAGTTCAATTACTCTACTGGAGTTGTTGGTGCTCGAACCCATGACCTCTCAGAACAACAACGATTCCTTTAACCACTGAGATAAGCTGGTTCATGCACCTTACTTAGGGTTCAATTAGGTGAAAATGTATTTAAGGGCTTAATTATAGTAACAATACAATACAAGCTTGGATGATTAGTTAGTTTTAATTTATAGGCTCGTTTATCTTTAAGCCTTTAATTTACTCCTGCGCAGTAAATACAAAGGTTATAAAAATTTTAGCAGAAAGAACTTGCAATTAATCTGCAGAGAAGGTGTGCTACATACAAAGAAAACAAAGTTCCCATTTCATAGGAGAAGAAAATCATTCCAAGTTCTATCTATATCATTTGGCATGTAGATTTCAAGAAATTTTTCATGTTTGACTAACATTTACACGGTGCAATATTAGAGAACAAACCATACCTTTTCATTGTATATCCGGAGTCTCTCTTTCACCACTTCTTCAGTATCATCCGATCTAGTTACAAGCTTTGACATACAACTTGATGGAGGAAGAAGAGGAGCCATACTAATTCCGCGGCAGCCGTTCAGACCCTTCACATTAATTGAAGCCACATTGAAATTTTTCCCGCACTGACCACAAATTCTTCTACCAAGACATTTCTCAATCAAAACACTCTCCGGAAGTCTCAAATTCACCACTAAATCAATATCCGTTACTCCTTCCAATATTTCCTAAATGAAAAAAAACTATTAAGCCAGCGACATAGAGCAGAAATAGAAATCTGGACAAACTGGTAGAATTAAATTCTTACTGCTTGATTTATGGTTCGAGGAAATCCATCAAGAATAAATCCCGATTCACCTTTAGCCTCCCCAGCTTGAAGTCTTTTTGATAATAAACTTATTATAATTTCATCCGAAACCAATTTTCCTTGGTTCACAATCTCCGTTAGCTGTAACCGAGCAATGAAGTAACAATTTCGTTAGAAAATATAGGCTATTATAGCAAACTCTTAATAATTAATTAATTTCATAAACTCGTAATGGTGTTAACAGATCTCAGTGGGAAAATTTACATAAACAACGGATTCTAAACAGATCTAAAAGTTTGATCAGCGAAAAAAGTACGAACTTGTTTGGCGATTGGTCCAGAGGAGGCGAGTTCTTCACGGACAAGATCGCCAGTGGCGATGTGAGGGACGCCAAGGAGATTCGAGAGGCGACTGGCGTAGGTTCCTTTACCGACGCCTGGAGATCCGAGAAACACCCACTGCACGTTCCTCTTGCTCGGATCTTGTCGCGTGATCTTGTAGTCACCGAAGGGAGAGGGCGCGCGTGGATTAGATTCAGCAGCGACAGCCGAAGCAGAATACAAGCATCTCCTTACGTGAGAGATAGCCGAGGGTTTCAAGAAGCGAGTGATAGCCGCCATCGAAAGGGATGGAATATGGTTCACTGAGCTCGATAGCGAGTTTTCGAATACTTTTCTTTTGTCCTCGAAACCCTAATTTTCCAATTTCTATGGATCTTTCTCTTTTTTCTAGCGTTGACAATTGAAGGAGAATCGGGTTGCACTTTTGCTGACGTGGAATGGTGAAAGGTGATGCTCGTGACTTTGTTTTGACTATGAAAGGCTAATAACTTGCCACGTATGAGTACCGTTTCCCGTTAAACATCCAACGGTTACAGTTGAAGCGCAACTTCTACTTTTCCGTATGGTTTTTCTAACTTTTTAGTGTTTAATATAGATAAATACAATATAATATTGTTTAAAAATAATTCTTAATTATTTAATATTAAATATTTATAATATTTTTAATGTTAGAATCTGGGACTTCAACTAATAACAATAATTTTTTTTACCATCAATGTCATTTGGATGAAGATATATGATCAATATAATTTATTTTCTTAGTCAATTAATTTTTTTTTCTATTTTCTAGAACGTAGTCTCATTTTTCGTAAATCATTTCACGAACTTTTCACTTCAAAACATCTAAATTTAAAATATTATTATTTTATATGTTTAATATTAATATACTATTTTATTATTATTTTTATAAAAATATTAATTAATAAAATATATTTATTGATAATTTTAATAGTATAATACTATATTTTTAATATTATAATTATATTATTATAATATATAATATTATATTTTTTATCTTAATAAAATATAATAAATTATTAATAAAATTAATATTATTTAATAATTTCATAAAAGTAATTGAATTATTTAATATTTAAAATATAATCTTTAAAATAAAATATAATATTTTCATTATAAGAACATAGTTTTTAATATTTTAATAGTATTATCATTTTAATATAATTAATAATAGATTATTATTATTTTAACAAATAATTAATATAATTTATAATAATTATATTTTTATAAAATATAATATTTTTAATATTTTTATTTAATAAAATTGTAGATATAATATTTTAATAATAATATTGATGTAAATAATATTAAATAAAATATTAATATTTTAAAAATAATAATATTTTTAGTTAATAATATGATTTATTTTATTTGATATTTATAATAATTAATTTCTAAAAATACCATCTAGTAAAAAATAGTTTACAAAACATTATCCAAACACCGTAAAATGATTTTCATAAATATTTACCAACAAATGTAATTCATTTTTCAAAATTCATTTTTCAAAATTCATTTTTCAAAATTTTTTTACTGTGAAACAACAAACTCTTAATATAAAAATAAGTGCTCTGTCACTTTTCATATTTAGGTGCTACATATTTTTTCGGTAAATTCAATTCAAGTGACTAACTTTATAAATGTTATTATTTTAAATATTCTGAATGTAACGACCGTTAATTCATTAAATGATATGTGTTATATTTTAATAATTTTAAAGATTTTATTTTAAAGAAAACTTAAAAATAAATTATTATATTTTAAAAATTCCCTTCAACTAGGGATGGTAAACGGATACAGTTTCGTGGATTCTGCACCGCATCCGCTCCAATTGGGGCGGGGATGGGTATAATTTAGCGGATAGTGGGCGGGTGTGGATTTAGAATGTGGTACCCGTCGCGGGTGGTGGGCGGGTAATGGGTTTGAGACATTACCCGCATCCGCCCGTATAGCTAAATATTTATTAATTTTAGGACCATTATGAATTTAGGTGTAATTTTATAGACTAATTTATAAATTCTAATATTGTATAAGATATAACATGTAATTTATCTAACTCTCCAACAAATAACAAAGGATATTTTGGGCATTCCTGCCTCCACTGTCCCATCAAAATCTGCATTCAGTATAGGTGGAAGAGTAATTGGTCCTTATCGTAGTCGACTACTTCCGGAGACAATTGAAGCATTAATGTATGCTCAAAATTGGCTTTGGGCCGATATTAAAGGTAATATTATTATTTAGTTTATATTATTTGTCAAATTGTGCTTAATTATCTTATTAAAGTTTAGTTACTAACTTATATTAGTTTTACTTTCTATTATATATGTAGGTAGTAGTGAATTTAAATTGGAGCGCTCTCAGTTTGAGGAAATAGAGAATGATGATTGTAATACTGGAGTATTATATGTCACAAATATTGCCTGGAATTTTAGAATGTTGTGCCAAAGAACAAAAATATTATGTGTTTGTCATTTATGTTTATAGACTTTAATTATGTCATTTATTATGGTGTTTTATGTATTTTAAGATCTATATTAACACTTAACTTAGATAATCCTTGGATTATTTTATTATGTTTCTTAATGGACATGTTTTTTTTATGTTTGTTGCTTATGTATAACTTAAGTTTGCTGTCAGGCGGGTCTAGACGGGTACGTCGCTAGTGGGTAGTGGGTGTGGGGATGGATTTGAGAATGTACCCATGTGGGCGGGTGTGGATTTAAAAATTTATACCCATCATGGGTGGTGGACGGGTAGTGGATTGAAAAATATTAGTTGGGTATGGGGATGGGGGAGGAGGTATCCGCACCCGACCCGCCCATTTGCCATCCCTACCTTCAACCCATCTCCCCTAGCCCTTCTCTCTCTCACCGCCTCCTTCCTTCACGCCCCTCTCTCTCTCTCCTTGTCCCATCTCCCACACTCTCCTCTGTAATACCTCAAATTTTGATTAAAATGTAAGTTTTGAAAGTTTGGTGGTTAAGGTATAAAACTTATAAAAGTTTAGAGACCAAAAATAATTTTAAAAAGTTTTATATTTTAACGCGTAATGAACAGTTGGGCTTAAAACAATAATTTTCATGGTAATCAGATTCCGGTACGGGATTTGTGTTAAAAACTATAAAGCAATAAAGTTCGGTATAGAAATCGAATAATTGAATCGAACTGAAATTTCACGAAAATTTGAAGGATGCTAGATAAAGGTTGGAAATTCTTGAAGAATTTCTCGATGATTGTTTTTAATGCATTGAGTTCGTTCGGGTTTCAATATTTGTCTGAGTTTTACTTGCCATTGAAGTTGCAGCAACAGAACTGGCTTTGAGTGGGTTTGGTAAGATCCAAGCATGTGCGATTTGTTGTTTTAACATTTATGTATGAGAACTTGGAAATTTGTTCAATGTTTATTTTCTTAATGATGGCAATCTTTGGATTTCATCTACTTTCAGTTATTCATTTACTGGTATGGATTAGTAGCATTCACAACCAGGGTTTTAAATCGCGGTCGCGGTTTCGGTTATTTCGAATTTACCGTGATTGCGGCCGTCGCGGGTAACTCGAACAGCGACGAAACCGCTATATCACGATCGCGGACCGTTTTTTAAAACCCTGATCACAACTTCCATATGCAGGAAATTGTGGAAGGTAACAATTTGTAAGAAATCATATGCATTTGAAAAGGCTAAATTTTAGGGTTAGGACTATAGGTTACCATTGCAGCTACCATCAATATCCCGCTTGATACAACTTGTGTTTCTCAGTTATCTTTCTCAAGACATCAGCTGCTCATATTATAGAAAATGCATGCTTTATAGAGGAAGAAAATATTAATATGCGACCAAACGATAGAAATAGAATTGTCTGTAGGTGCAAATAAAATAACCTCATTCTATTTCATGAATTTTTGAGTTAAATTTGGTCATACAACTTCTATACAGTTGATCTCATCTTCAATCTTACAACACTTGTACAGTGACTTTCTTGTTCCCTTTTAGATCTATTTTAAAAATTATTGTATAAAAATAATGCACAAAATTGAGGTTAATACATAAACATCTCAAGTAATAAAATCTGCCCTTCGCCGGAGCCAACGATTCAATGACTTCCTTGTAACTTTTAACCTTTGCAGAATCACAGGTCTCCTGGTAGAAGATAAGGGCTTTGGTGAAAATTTGTTCTTTTCAGCTGTTTCTAATAAAACTGTATTTGCATCAATAGGAGCCTTCAAATCTACCCATCTATCCTTTTTAACTCGAGGTTCAACTGATAGTACCTCAAGCCCCAATTCATCCTGCAGAAGTTTCATTACTGCACCTTTTACCCCAGATATTACATTGACTGCTTGCTCATGCCTTTCACTCACTCCTAGGATTATCAACATATCATCTTTTACTGAATGTCCTGCAATAGAATTTATCGAGAAACATCAAAATATGTCACTTCGAAGATTAGACTATTTAATTGTGGATTTAGCTTTACGTGTCTGATGCATTCATATGTGTGGTATTAATCTGCCTGGTAGAAAAGGTATACAATGTTTGAACTGGTCAAAGCAAGCTAGTGAAGATATTTTCTACCTTGGATGTAGTTCTCTTTGATCATTCGTAAAACAGCAAGAACAACTATCCGAGCTTCAACCTGTCAGTAGGCATTACACAGATTCTCTTGAGAGATCTAATCAGGTCTCAAGAAAGTAAAAATCATGAAAAGATCGTTCAAGGCCTCTAAACTATTTAAGATGAATATTGGTTCAATCAAACAGACATTTATGTAGAAAATGTACAATGATATCTTTGGTTTTCATTATACCTTATGATCCTTTTTAAAGAGGCACTTCTAAAATTTGCAATGTGGTAGTCATATATGATTATTATGTCAATTTAGTTCATCTACTTGATATTTCTAAATGAAAATGATGACATGGAAATCAACCAATTACTTACAAACTACATACTAAAAACCATCTCGAGTTACACACTTGAAATCTACTCGTTACATCATGAAAAAAGGCATGAGAAAAAACCGCCAAAGAACCTTCTTCTTAGTTTATTCCCTTTGGTCCTTTAGTTGTTTGTTCTCTGGATGATTCGATTAAGAAAGAAAATTGGGTGATGGGAAAATGGGAATGAACAGCCACGATGGATGTTTTTAAGCACAGAGAGACAATAAGGTGGAAAACATTTGGAGAAGACGGTTTCTAATAACTTTTAATCTATTGCTGAATTTTTGGTTTTCCAAAAAATTCACGTAGGTGCCATGTCATGGTCATGTATATTACACGTGGATGTCAAATGTGTAGCTCAAGATGATTTTCAATAATGACATGGAAAATATTG